CAAAAAGCACTTTACGAACATGGGCGAAGACGTTTTTTTCTGCAATTGCTTCACACTTGGCGTTAATTCAAGGTCATCTTTGCAAAGTTTGGTGAATTACCATGTTTCCGCCCTAACAGTAAGACCTGCATTGTAGGCATTTAGCGAAGAGGAGACGACCGTGAGATCTGCCCCATTTCCATGACTTGTTGGAGCCCAACAGTGGAAACGTCATGGTTGACGTTCTCTGAAAGGTCATGGTAGATGTGCGTGGGATGGGATTCAATGTCGTGATCACAAGAACGCGGAATTATGGACAAAAGCATTGACCCCAGGCGAGCTCGAACCGGCTCCTAGGCAGACCCGGGGGAGCATCTTACACCACCAGAGGTACCTCTTATCATCTCTGCTTGTTGGCTTGCCTTGCCTATGCAGCCATTCAGAGGGGGTAGCCAGTCACCTGGTCAGAATGAGGTAAGGGTCCGAGTCCCGCTAGGGCTAGAGATTTTTGCCTAGAGTTGAACTTTTTCTGATAATTTTTATAGATCGCGAGCTGCGGCGTTAAGCAGTGTTCGTCGTATTGAAACAAGTGTCACGCTCATTTGTAAATGAGATAAGGTGCATTTTCTCCGACGCTAGCAGTTTTCTTTGTTTTCAGGAATTTCTCAATGCTGATGGCCTGGGTATCACTCTTATAGTGATATTGCGAGCTAAAGACAATCAGTCTATGATTCGAATGGATCACATGACTGAAGCACTTGAGGTAATTATGGTTCTTTTCAAATATTTGCAGAGCATATTGCTTATTTTTTAACTTTTCACAAACCTTAAGATCCTATTTTTACCCCATGACCCTATAACACTGATCTTGTGACAGTTGTACTCAGCCGGGATGTAACATGACGCTAGGCATTTGAGGGGGCGGGGAGTCACTAGACTTTGGTCATCTGCGCCAACCCTAGGTTTGACCTAAGGGAAAAGTGACCAACATTGCGGTTAGAGGCATAACGAGCAGCATCTGCTGCATACACTCTCCTCCTCCCTCCTCAGTTACGTGAGCGCCGCAATATTATTGCTAGGAATCCTGGACCTCGGGTTTCGTTTAATGACAAACTCTATACTCACTTCCATGGATCCTGATCCATGTGACTGGGTCCGCAGCTGCAGTGCCACCTTCTCCGCTCAAAATTGCACGGGAATGAGGCTGAAAGGCAGTGTACGGCAGGCGGCAGTACCACGCCTCGCGCTGCCGTACGACGATGACTAAATACGCCACCTGTCTGCGCTCTTTCATTTCTGGTTGTTCTCTACCGCTGAGTATGTTTCTCCTATTCTCCTGTTTTGATACACTCCCCTATCGCAAAGCATAAACACGATATAACGATCGGCTGTACATGTGAGCAGCAGGGAGTGGCAAACTTATGGGAGGGTGTTATTGATAAACACGCCACACCCGATGAACTGTTTTTATATCTATTTTTAATGGCAACCTATAAATCATCAGCTCTTAACAAAACTCACGCTTCCTTCATTCCGATCATTTGGGGGTTTTCTCTACCTTCATGTGACTAGGTCTAGAAACGAGGCCATTACTCGTGAAGTATTGGACGGTTCTCCTCGACGAGAAGTAGCGCTAGTCAAACAACAAGCAATGACAATCTTGACATTGCTGTAGGATGGTTGACAAAGACCGATTAACTTCCTGGTTTTTCTGGCAGTCCTATCACGATTCGTAAAGGGCAAATCGACAAACCTGCAAACCGGTACGCACACCTTTATGAGACCACGCTCACATCTAATACCGAAATAGAAGGTTGGAATGGCAGGGAAGAGGAGTATACACGCTACTGAAGTAGACAAGTGGATTTCTAGTTCAACAGAAGAATAGACTACCTTTTTACTGCGGTTGTTGGCTTCGCACCAGAATGGGGTTCGGGACTATGTCTACGCCTTGAAGACTAGTAGGCGGCATAGAGCAGAACGGCCATCGATATGACAGCGCTTACAATTAGTTATGGATGGATTGGAAAGTCTGCGGAAAATTCGCTGTCAGGGGGCTAGGCTTGGCTCGACGCTAGCCTATTCTCCATCATTTTCTTAAGAGTGCAAGCGACAATAATTAAAAGAAACCAAGCTGACGCCGCGCCAAATTCAGTCCTCTGACAGGCCTTAGCATCCGCAACGAACAAGACTGCATGAACTTGGACTTTTGCTTCCATTTTCTATTTCAGATTCTTGAACTCGTTTCATCTCATTTCCCGATGTACAACGCTGATCTCGGCAGAAATCAGTCTTTCAAAGAATTCTGCAAAGAATTCTGTCAGGCTAACGAGCCCGTAAAGATGTTCTATGTAAGTCGTAGATTCTGCGTTATGATTATGAACAAATGGCACCAAATTCAGATTTTCAGAACGGATTGCGAGTTTTGAAAGAGAACGTCACTGACGAGCTACGTCATCGAATCAATTTTTCATATCCAACTTCGGAAATTTTCGGAGTTAAATTCAGTCTCTTGGTGAGGAATTAGCTCTGCTGGTTCTTTATAACAACTCACCTATCTAAGGCTTCTTATTGCAATACAATTTCTATGATCTCTTTGGAACCATGGATTGGTTGGGTGACTAATTTTGGGCAACGCCCTCAATGTAGCTAGTACTCCATAGCTGGTTACAGTCAACATGTGGTAATTCCGCTCTGAATCAGTTAGATCCCGTGTCGAAACGGCGTGTTCACCGTGTCGCCGGAACGCCGTTTCGTTTTCGTTGTAGTCGTTTTCGCTGTAGACGCTAGGAGACGTCAGGGAAGGGAGTAATGGGCTGGATTTGGCACTATTTCAGACCAATTGTAGCCGCTTCTAGCCGTTCCAGTAATTAACTGAGAACGAGCTCAGTAATTAGTTGAGAACGAGCAGCTTTCGTGCCAATCCGCGCCAAAACCAACTGTACCCTCCAGCGACACTCCTCTAAACCGAGGGTTTCTGCTCACAGAAGACTAAGCATAAATGTGGCATAAATGTGATTTGGAACACATGAGAATTATTTATGAGAAATAATCCAGAACTTTCTCAAGGAAATTTCATCATATATTCGCATGTCGCTGAAGACATTGAGAACATATGATAAAGTGTAGTCGATGTCGTCACAATCAGTCGGAGCGGGGTCAGGAGGGGCGGAATGGGCCCATCTCCACATGTCTTGCTCTGCCAATAGTGACCGGTTAGTGATCCATTCAAGAAGAAAACAACTAGGTGTGAAAACGAAGCGGATGGGCTCACTCCAGCCCTCTAGGTTATGGATGGATTGGAAAGTCCGCGGAAAATTCGCTGTCAGGGGGCTAGGCTTGGCTCGACGCTAGCCTATTCTCCATCATTTTGCTTAAGAGTGCAAGCGACAATAATTAAAAGAAACCAAGCTGACGCCGCGCCAAATTCAGTCCTCTGACAGGCCTTAGCATCCGCAACGAACAAGACTGCATGAACTTGGACTTTTGCTTCCATTTTCTATTTCAGATTCTTGAACTCGTTTCATCTCATTTCCCGATGTACAACGCTGATCTCGGCAGAAATCAGTCTTTCAAAGAATTCTGCAAAGAATTCTGTCAGGCTAACGAGCCCGTAAAGATGTTCTATGTAAGTCGTAGATTCTGCGTTATGATTATGAACAAATGGCACCAAATTCAGATTTTCAGAACGGATTGCGAGTTTTGAAAGAGAACGTCACTGACGAGCTACGTCATCGAATCAATTTTTCATATCCAACTTCGGAAATTTTCGGAGTTAAATTCAGTCTCTTGGTGAGGAATTAGCTCTGCTGGTTCTTTATAACAACTCACCTATTAGGTTGACCGGAAAGTTTCCCGCCATTGAATTGGTGAGGAATCCAACGGCCAAGCTTTGCGACTTTACCAATCTTCTCCAGCCCAGATTCAACAGTTGATTGGGCATGGCCGAGCATCGCTGCAAGTTCCCTGGTAGTGGCGTACGGATCCTCTTCCACGGTGGATTGCAGCAACTTCAAGTCTAACTCCATCGGCCGGCCGGACCTTGGAGCATCTTGGAGAGAAAAATCTCCTTTCTTGAACTTGGCCATCCAGGTCTTGCACGTGTCGTAAGAGATAGCGTCAGCGCCATATGTATCCACTATCTTGGCTTGGGCTTCCTTTGCGTTTAAGCCAATATATCGCGACCCCACCCTTCATAGGTAATACACTCATAAATTAGAATTGCCGTGTGTTTGTTACTTATTGAAGAAAAAAGGCAAACCACGAAAAAATCGCCCAAAAATAAAGACCTTTTTATTGCAATGATCGATCCACCGGACGAGCGTAAGGTGGTCAAGATCAATTGTGAATTGCGAAAGGCGGCGATAACACTGATAAGAGACGAGAGAGGCCAGAAAACGACGGGCGAGAGAGCGCAATGGCAGTCGATAACACGGACACTGGAGGCCGGCATGGGCCTATCGGGCGCAAATGGGCCTAAAACCTGAGCGCCCTGCGTTTTGCTTGCTGTTTTTCAACTTTTGAAAGCAGCATAGCCTCTGACGTTGCCTGCTTGACCATCGTGCACGGTTATGAGAACCTAGCCTTAGTTTATCGCGGAACGTGCCTTTAAGCCAGACTGATGAAGGAAAAGAAGACAGTGCCTCAGGTGCATCCTGTCGGGTTGAAACTTGGGCGGCATTTTGGAATCCAAATGCAAGCTGGGTGAGTGTGAGGTAGTGATGTGAAAGAGGTCTCTGCGTGCTTCATGCACACCCCACGATAAGTCATAAACATACATGCAAGGCTAATAT